TTTTCTTGGGTAATTTTATTTTCTATTGCAAAAGTTAAAGAGAAAACAAACACCTTGTTTACAGTGTTACAAACAGGAAAATAGAGTGGCTATCCAGCCTTTTAAATGATCTGGCTTATGTATGGTTTTAAATTACAGTCTAAAGAATACAGAATGAAAAACTGGGTTTCACTTTAAAAAAGAAAAAACTAATTAAAAATAGAATATCAAACATGCTGTTTAAGTAGGTATTACTGTGCTGAGTGAATGGCTGCAGTTACTTACTCTAAACAGTGATTACCTTTAACCAGCTTTGAAACAAACTGCAAATGAATGCAATTATGTATCTATCAAAGCTGCRCGGTGGGTGTGGTGGAAAAAAAGGCATGCCATGGATCTCAGAACAAGGATGTGCTACTGCACGGGATACGAGAGCTAAACCTCGACAGCAGCCAGATGTGGGGGACTGTCAGATGGCACTTGTTGCCTCAGGGTGAATTACAGATGTTGTGTGAACTCCCTTAGATGATTTTTACAGAGATGCCACCTGCAGTTGGAATTTAAACAGCAGCAGTAACCACCGTTTCATCAGAAAAAAAACAAACCCAGGGTACTTGGAGGCTTTTTCTGTTTCATCTTTAGAGCTGGTTTTGTGGTCTGACAAACCACCTGGTTCTGTAACACCTTGAGGTCTAATGCATGTGTCACTTGAACCTAAAGAAGGCCATATTTCTTGTGCTAAAGAAGAAAACAAGTAACCCCCTAACCTACCACAACTGATTCACGGGATTACGATTCCCAGAGAGAAAAGAAGATCACTTTGAACCTGAGCAGCAGGTGAGGATTAATCTTACACCAGTAAGCCAATCTCTTCGAGTCATATGACACTGTCTTAATTAAATGTATTCTTGTTTACTACTTAYTTGGTTTAACTCCTGCATGGAGGTTGGTCAGTTTGTAACTCTGAGTTTCTAARATACAGATTTTTAAAATTTTGATGAGTGCAAATGCACTCGTTCCAATGTCTGATTAACTATTTTACAACAATTGAGAGAATACAAAAAAAATTGCTTACCTTACACATTAAGGCATAATTTAAAATTTAAGGGAACACTTGTATAGAATAAGGTCAAAACTAAACTCAGTTTTGCATCAGCAAACTCCAAGAAAATCTCTCTTAATTACTTCCTTGAAATAGAAGCACCTTTATTTCAAGTATTTCATTGTTTTCTCTCAGCTGCATCTACCACAAACATGATTTAGCTTTAATTCCAAACCTTCCCGTGTTCTTCTCTATCTTTCCTCAGCTAATGACTATTTTCTTTCCCCCTTGGCCTTCAAATTTTTTKGTATACTGGCTATTTGCAAACTATTTTTAATAAAACTACTATTTATGATGCTTGATATATATTTTTTTCTATGATATTTATGTGTGTATATTTGTTATAGTATTTTAAATATCTTGATTCATAAACACAGTAGGGAGTATGAGTTAAATTCTTTCACTGAGAACAAGCTTGAAAATTGAAGCTTCATTCAGCACTTACAACTTCAGATCATCCTTTGGTCTTTTCCCTTTCTCCATCATCTTGCCTTTCCAGCTTCACTGACCTCACTCCTTTCTCCCATTCTCATTCCTTTYGGCCACTCCTTTGGCAAAGGCTTTCAAAATTATGTGGAAAAGACTTCAGGAGTTCCCATTACTAAACTAAGAGTGCCATCAAGATGWGCTTATATGACTTCCTGACAGATCAAATCAATTGTTCATCCACAGTAACCTCCTGGTCAATTGTCTTTTCAAAAACCTTTACTGAACATAAAATTAACAAGCTGCTCTTCTTTGGGTCAATGTTGAATGCAAAACTCCACAGAACCCATGAGAATTGTAGTGTCAAAATACTGGGGTTTGGGCTGGGTTTTGTTGCTTTTTGGTTTTTTTTTTTTTTGTTCTGGAAATCACAGTGTTCAAATATTAAAGCAAAATGGCAATGCATAACTCCCAAGGAAAAAAGACATTCATGTTCAATGACAGTGGGTTTAAATCCTGAATTACCAAGACATTGCTTATGTAACCAGTTGTAGCAAGCTACAGCAACTTTTTACAATGTCAATGTAGGCTTCATTTTTCACCGCGTTCTCAAAGAAATTAGGTTGATGTGAATAAATCCTCATTACTAACTTCTGAACCTCTTGCCAAGTACAGCTGAAAAGGACAARGGCAAGTTAAATTCAAACACTGCAATTTTAAAACTCATGCAAAAAAAAAAGTGATCGATTATTAGGCTGACTGTGAGCTAACCCACTGTGATAGACACAAAAGAAATTAAACTTCTTGTTTAATTGCTCAAGCAGTTATTTGTTTTGTAACGTGATACCAATCCAGAAGCAAGGACAGGTACTTCCCACATGAAATTCCTACCCTGGGATTTCTTACTGAAGGCAGCTCTACACACACAATAGACACCTCCAGCAATAAAGAGAGGTACTTGTAAAGTACAATGCCTTAGCAAACCCGAACGAATTCACAATTTGCCCCCCAGACCAAAGTACTGYTTTCTGCACAGTAAAATTACTCAGGAAGCAGGAATTCCATGAGGCAATAGAGCCAGCTGTGACTTGCATCTCCTGCATGGAAGCTTTGCATCCCTTACCACACAACGCCCGCCTAAGGATGCTCCGAGTTTAAGTCCTGACATAATGAATAAATACAAAAGATGTGGTRGCAGACAAGAGTTTCAGGCAGCCGCCAATAACATCACACAGATTTTGCCAGTAACTTTCTGTTGGTTGGCTTCAGATTGAAGCTGAAGTAGGTTCTGGCTGCCAGGAGATCTGAAAACTTGCCGCGTAGTATTTAAGTATTTATAACTGCTTAAACTAATTTGTCCTAGAGCACTGACAAGACAATCCCTGTAGTCATACCAAGTTTCTCTTTTGCAGGCTAAGACAAGTATATCAAGGTTAGCAGATGAAGGTTAATAGATCCAGCAATTAACTTTCTCTTTCATTATGAATTTAGACACTTAAGTTTTGTTTTTAGATCTTTTTTACTATGCAAGCTAGCTTGCAACACACTTCTGAACACAGTATTATTTACAATAATTAATATTTTTCCAACATAGATTATATTTTAGATAATAAAAAATGAATGTTCAGAAGTCAACCAATTATGCTTTTAATAAGAGAGAAAACATTAGTAGTAAGAACTACTATCAAAAAGAGAAGCTGTTTTCTAACAACTGCATGGTGCAGCATTAGCAGTGAACTTAAAAGTACGCATTTACATCCTCCCGCTGTGAAGATAGAATATCGTGTGCGGAAAACAACAGTTCCAGCAGCAGTTCCCTCTCTCAMACTGATCCCAGATTTTCAAAGAGATTTCGACAAGGCTCCCTGAGCAGAACAAGAGGGATCTCGGACGGAGTTACAAGCTCTCCCACGTACATTGTGGGACTTGCCACCTCCGAAGTGCTCACCGAGARGACTTTGCACCACTGTTCACCACCTCGAGAAATACACCAATAGTCAAAACTCAGCTAGACGCCTTTTTGACACACTGGCTCCTTCACACTATGAAGTCACGAAAAGGGCCATGAAGTGCACGGCTCGGCCTCCTGGGCAGTGGCAGTGCTGTGAGTGCTGTCCAAGGAGCTGGCCCAGCCCCTTCCTTCGCCAACGCCTGCACGAACCTCTGGGTTTTACCAGAGCTACAGGTACCTGCGGACATTGGCGGGTCGGAAGGCGGGCAGGGTTCGCAGGGGCGCTGGGTTACAGGTGGGCATCATTCYCCCCGCTCCGTCCCCGAGGGGCAGTGCAACACAACGCGGGCACAGAAGCGCGTCCTGCCAGCCCCCGGCCCCGCACACGCCCCAGCTGCCCGTGCCCCATTTCCCATTTGCCGCTCGCCGCCCCGAGCGAAGGAGGGGCTGTTCTCCCTGCCCGGGGAGTGCGCCTCAGGCTCCCGGCTCCCGGCTCCCGGCTCCGGGGCGGGCGGCAACGCCCCGGGAGCGGCAGGTCCCACCTGTTACACGCCGCCGCACTAACCAGGTACTCGGGGTACTCGTACATGTAGGTCATGCTGCACCGGTTCTCCTCGTAGAGGAACAGCACGTCCCGCACGCCCAGCAGCACCAGCGCCGCCAGCGCCCCGTAGAAGAGCGCTGCCAGCGCGGGCAGCCGCTGGCCCGCCCGCCCCATGGCGCCCCGCGGAGCGGAGCGCTGCTACCCGCGGGCTCCCCGCGCACACGGGCACGGCGGGGCGGGGCGGGAGCGGCGCCGCCGGGGAGGCGGAGCGGCCGGGCGGGCGCCTCAACCTGGCCGCCGCCGGCGCCGGGGGSCGGCCGCCATGTTGGGGAGGTCGGGCGGGCGCTGGGCCGAGGGGCCCGGCCGCCATGTCGCGGCTGGCGGGAGAGGCGTGTCCGCCATCATGGGGAGGGCGCTGTGAGGGAGCGCGGCCGCTCAACCCCCTCAGGGCCCGGGGGCGAGCACAGTGACCCCCGGGAGCAGCGGGGTCCACCTCGGCGGAAACAAACCCGCACACCTCGCTCCTACGGACCCTGCCATGTCAGTGATGTACGTCCAGAAAGCTGCGGGCACTCACCATCAGAAAAGCGCTGGATGTGGTTTGGATATTTTTTTTTCCTTTTTGTGGGTTTTGTTTATTTGCTTTAATTCAGGTAAACACCGTAGTATCTGCCTTTTRGTATCTTTAAGCGCTCTGCTGCATTTTAGCCCCCTGTGGGACTGCTGCCCCAGCCCGCTGCAGGGCACACCCAGCAGTGCGGGTGGTGCTCACCAGGGAAMACAGTAAAATATTTAATAACTGAATAAAAAAAGTTACTGTGGTGCTGTATTTGGTTCCTCCACCTMCCCCGAATCTACAGAGAAAGCGATACAAAAATCAGCTTTCTAAGGCAAGGGGAATTTACATATGAGGGAAGTACGAAATAGMTATATACATGCAGTTACATTGTCTTTTTCACTGCTACATACTTAAGTTTCCCCGGCTCCCCCAAAAGAAACAAAACTTACTCAGTTTTCCAACAGTATTTGTACCATTTTTATTTGTAAAAATAACCATCTGAATGCATTTCAATAGCAGTTTACAGTTAGGCTTCTTTATTACATTAATACAGCATTCAGTAGTTGAAAAAGTTACTAAACTGTGCTTGAGAAGATTCAGATTGAATTCCAAGTCATTCAYTGAATTTTTTCCTCATTTCATATGTGACATTTACCCACATCCTCAAACTTCAATTTACAAAAGCAAACAATACTGACACAACCTCACCGAAACCATCAAACAATGTTTTATATCATTTATTACAAATGTTATGCAAAATATAACACTGGCACCAGATGCGTATCACCATGGTTTGTAAAGATATATTGCACATGCTAAAGCATAAAATATAAGACAAAACCTACAAAACCTAAGATATTGGCTTTAATGTGTAGATCACTGCATAAGAAATGCATAAAATTACATTTTATACACACACTCAAGATTGTCACTAGTTTAAAACGCCCTTTCCTATAACACTGACCTAAGGTTTACTTTTTGTGTAATAAGAAAGCATTTTCAGCACTGCAAAAATTATACATTATTCCTATAGAAATTTAGCATATTAATTTTCATTTCAATGCAGGTAGAACATATGAAAAGAAGAAACACTTTATACATTCAAAGAAGGTCTGAAATGAAAATGTACTGGTAATATATTGCTTTTATAACACTCAAATGAAAAAAAAAAAGACAAGTTTCACAAAACATTTCCATTATACACAAATATAAAAAGGCACTCTAATATTTCTTACATGACTAAGAATAAAAATCACAAATTTTTTTTTAAAATCATCCTCAAATACGTAACCAAGTTTCTCAACAGTACAATGGATAAACAATTMATTTCATGTGTTTGTTCTAATTCAATAACCTGGCAGTTGTTTACTGCATAAAAGTACCAAACACATTATGGTGCCCTTTTAAGTAGCGATGAACAGAAATTCCCCTGAGCTATTTCACAGCAATTTCAGGCAGTCCGGAGGTTGTAACTCRGTATTTATGAGAGAGACCTGGGAGCCCATCCTACTCTGGACTCCACCTGCAGCTGTGGTTAAAATACAGGACGAAATGATCCTGCCAGTACACCGGGGCAGGGAGCTGTCCCTCCCCAGGTACCTTCTGCTTGGTGCAGACAAAGAAATTGTCCATGCACTCTAAGTTGCAGGATCCAGGGTTAAGTGCAACAATTATGTATGATTACTCTTGTAAGAAGTCCACAGAAAGGCAAGGAGATTATTTACAAGAGTAAAATTACTCCCATGCTTAAATACCTGCCCTAAACTACACATTTATTTCTACATGTGATAAATTACAGATTAATGTAGTAGCATATGGAAAAAAAAAGGGATTCTGGTAACTCACGAGAGATGTGGGACAGGCCAACAGTGAGCACTTGCAAGTGTCTCATGGCATTTTTCCTCCTAAATACAGCACACTCAAAACATRACCTGTGCAGTGCCCTTGAGCATATGCTCCTATGCTTTCTGAAATACTGCATCCTGATAGCACTGTTAGTTCACAGAAGGGTTTCCTGGATAAAAGATAGATTTGGTTCCTGGAAGGACCAGCATGACTCAAAAATAAATCACCTCTGCTTCTGGGATGCACTGAGAGGCAGCAGCTGTTGCACTACACAATTACCAGTGTTATGAGGTATCACAAATAAAAAAAAATTTGGTAACTGTATGGTAGCAGGTAAAAATACTGAAACTTTTCTAATGGCTGCTTTAAATAATATAACAGCTCTTTATAAAGAGGACTGGTTTTCTCTTAATGAAGCAACTTTTCTTAATTTCAGATAGTGAAATTTTCTATATTTTAGGGTGAGACTTATAACTAATCCTGCCAAGGAGCCTGCCTACATTTCTGCTTAAAATAAGATTAAAATGCTGATTCTGCTGTTAGACAGGTGGCAGCTATTTTCCATATGTTTGTTTTCAATGCCATCATTCCACATTAAAAAACCCCCCAAAATTACTATTCACTTTGGAAAGGCATCACTGAAAACTTTAACAACTGATCTCTTCTCTTATTTTCAGTGTTTTAAGTAAGGTGGTTATCACTACTCTACAACTTTAAAAAGCAAAAACGCTGAGAAAAATCAATTAAAATGTTATTTGGTGCTATTCCTTTTGCTCCTCAGACTCTTAAGTCTTGCCAGATTCACATTTCATTTCACGTCATGCCAAACAGTATGCATGAATGCTAACTAGGAGAACAAGCCATAGGTATTTTTCCTGGGCATTTGTTTCATTTCAAATAAATAGAAACACATTTACATTAAAAGTATATGAACATATTCTTAAGTGTGGAAAAACAACCCACCTGTGGTCAACACATCATCAGTTAAAAATGTCAATTTGAAACCTGAAAATGTAAAATTCACCCAAGACTACTCATTACCTCAAAAGTTTATATTTTATCATTTAGAAAAAACTACTTCATTATGTAACTCACATTTGAAGAAAAAAATAAAAGTAGCAAAATCTTCAATTTAATTACTGAAGCATTTTGGTCCTCTTGTACAGCTGGTTAGTTCGTGATAGCTTTTTGTTTGTGTTTTTTGTTTTGTTTTTGTTTACAAAGTCTCATTCTTCCTTTTGTACATCTGTTGCAGAGGAGGGTCGTGGTCCATTTGACCTAGAAACTTTGGCAGAAGGAGTAAACATATTCACAAAGTTGACACTGCTTTACAAGCTGGTGACAAAAGGCTTTTTAGCRTCTATCTCTTGTCCCCTGAATTGTACACTTGCTATATTTCTGGTGTTTGGTATTTCAACTTTTGGTCTTTTGCTTTCATTGCTTTACCTTTGCTCTGTTAATCCAAACACTGACAAAAGTATTTTAAAATTCAATACYGTTTACAGTAAAAATAAGTTATTTAACCATAGAAAAGGAAAAAARTGCCATTCAAGTTGGCAAATCATTATAAACTTTTACATACACCTTTGTCTATGCCTGATTTCTCCCCCTCTCCCCCTTTTTTTTTCTGATACTGGATTCATGATTAATGGCTCAGGTGACAGAAACATCTAATGACCCTAATTCTGTAGTGCAAATAAACCATACACATTTGTGCTGAATTRAAAAAAAATAAGGGCCAAGTGATTTCCATTTTACACACGTGATGTCCAGAGGAAAATATGGTGAGATGAGTGGAATTWGGCCTTAAGAGTTAACAACTACATTTTTCTAATTGTGTACTGCAACTAGGAACTGTAAAAAGTGCCTTCTGTACGTTTAAGTGCTTAATACAGGCAGAATGTAAAAGGTTTCATTTCCTGYAGAAAGGTAATACAGGCAGTTTTAAGATTACAACTTTACCTTTGGTTTGTGTAAAAAGATTATCTAATTGACAGAATCCCTGGAAGCAGGAAACAAACAAACGTAGGAAAGGGGTGATGCTCGAATCTGTGAAGGCTATGCTGGAAATAGGGTTGTGTACTAAAGGTGCAGCTAAAACATGAAAAAACTCTTTAAAAACAGTTCCCTGTTTATTTGTGCTGTCAAAAAGAAAAAAGGCATTTTCTCTTTTTCTACTTAAAATAAGAGGTAGAGACTTTCCACAGGGGCACTTTGGGCCTAAAGAAAACATCAGGAAATTGAAGAGCTGCAAAACTCTAATAAGAATATGTTCCAGTAAATCCCTCTAATTTTGTTATTTAAAGGCTTGATTCTCATCAATACTACAAATCTTTCAATAACCTACTTGTCAAGAATAATAGTTAGGAATATAGCTGTGGATCTTAAGCTGTCTAAAAAGACAAAAATTAAAGCTGAAATTAAATAATAATGAAAAAWGTTTTCGAATACCAATGAGTCAAAATGTTTCAGAATCCGAATCATTTTCATTGTACCCATCCTCTGTTCCTATGTTATTACTCAAGGGCTTATTRTAAGAGTTAATGCTACCCATAGTGGAGCCATCGCAGAGGTGTGTCCTGCCCAAATTGTCTTTTTTAAAACAAGCGAAGTTGAAAGCCGTCACTGAACTGGAGGGAGAAAAAGGCATCATGGTAGCCAAAATGAGTGCCAGGCAGTCAGCCACGTCTTTGTTAGGAGCACAAGCCAGGGCTGGCGTATGACCTGGGCACAAATGCAGACAAGGCAATGGTTAGTACTGAGGGCACCCAGTGGCACCCAGCATTCCTCAGATCCATCTCTAGGGACACCGTGGGGAGATGGATGGGGGTTACAGCATGCCAGGCGTGTTACTCACTCACATGGGACGTGCTGGGAACACACACTCGGGGCACTGCAATCACCGGCACCACAACGRGCACTGCTTGTGTCAAACCAGGCAGCAAACAGACTCCACGAGTGCAATAAAAGCACTGGCTCAACACAGCTCTACAGCACAGACAGTGTGGTGAATACACAACACAGGGAGTACAGCCACGGGGACAGGGACAGAAACTGGCCTCAGTTTCTGTGCAATGAACAAGTCTCATTCTGAGAACAACGACTTGCATTAAACAKAAAAGAGATTAGTTTTAAAAATTTTTAATTTAACAAGAAAATAATTTTAAAGATTGATCGGTTGAGTAATTACTCAACTTGGAAAGCAGTTTATTTAGGAATAAAAATGTAGAAGAATTAGACCAGTCCAGGGGGTACATAGATAGCAGGTATGACTACATGGATGTTTAATTACCCAAATTTACATCATGTTAGAATAATGGCTGTATTCAGCAAGCATGGCATACACTTCAACTACTATTATTATTATAATACTATTATTATTATTCCAATATTAGGAATAATATTATTCCAATAATATTAGTTCCAATAATATTATTATTACTCAARTGTCAGTAAAACAAAGGACCAGGGAGCTATTAGAAGCTTTTTTTCACTGCAGTTTAACTTGGCTCCTGTCCAAGCACTGCCCCTAAAGCAGCTCCTCACGTACATGAGCTGTGGAAGCTAATGTGCTCATTTTACTTGCTGTCTGTACATTTTACAGACTGCAGTGCACAACTCCAGCAYTTTGCTAGAACTCCTCCATTATGCTAAGAACTGAAAAATTTWTTTGCAGATGGTCACATCTTAAGCCCTGCAGCAAAAGTAATGCACAGCAGTGGCCACTACTCGTACCTACTGCCTTGAGTATGCAAAGATCTACAGCACAGATGAATTTGGTGGGCAGAAGTGAGGACGGTTTTGTTGCATATTGCCCACATTTAGGCACTGACTGCAGTCAGTGCATTTCTTCTTCCACTGCATTCCAAGTGTTAATATTCTTTAGAGCTGTACATACACCAAGGTCATACTTCAGCTCTCTTTTAAACTGTGCATGAAGTTGTTCCTAGAAAAACTAAATGTGTATAAMATTTAAGCTTAATTTTCATTTGTTACATACAAATTAGCTGGACGTGTATGTACTATTTTAAGGATAAAAACTGTGGTTAGAAGCTAGTCTGGTTCATTTTTCTGTCCCCTATCTCTAAAAAGAGGTTAGGGTCAGATGATTTCCATGGAACTCATTTTACAAGTATAACTAGGTAACATTTGGTTTATAGTAAATATTCACCACTCAGTTCTTTTAATCCATAGATCTCAAATATCTTGCAATGATGGGTGGGGTGAGTATTATTACTTTACAAATATGGAAAGATGGAGGTGCCAAATCATTACCTAATTGCCATGAAGTTAGTGTTGTAAAAAAGACTAACTTTTTTCAAGAAGATACTTTTTAAAACTATACTTGTAGAACCACATCTCTTTACAGATCTTTATAATTTTTAGAAAGGGACTTCATTGAAGTCTGAAATAACATTATTTAATTTAGTAATTAATCCTGTATTTTACGAGGCAACAGTAATTTAATTGCATCTTGCATTAGGTCAGATAATTGGCAAGCACAAGGTTTGATCTCAGAATGAGCCGGGACACACTCAAACATATGCTGATGGTTTTCTTCCTACCCATTAAAACATGTGCTGAGTGAATGCAAAATCCTTAATTCTTCTGCAAGGTGTCAGAATTATCCGGTGCCACTTGCATATTTAGGAAATTCAAGTTACCACTGCACTCAAGCATTAAAAAAGACTAGCTGTTGACAGTACATGCAAAATGAACAGTAAAAGGGACCACTGTGATGTTTAGAATAGATCCTTATACTAAAGAAAAATAAATGGTATMTTTTGTATTTTTTAAATAGGTACTCACACAACTCATTGTCTGTTCTTGGAAGGATAAAAGCATCAATGAAGTCTATCATCACCTTTTAAGTCTATTGCTTGGTTCTGTTGTAAAATTACCTGTTGGATCCTACTGAAGACTGTCAAAGTGTATCATTTACTTACCATTTTCATCTACTGCCAGGACACAGGCCCCTTTGGCCAGCAACTCTTCAACCACCATCTTTAGGCCATTTCGTGCAGCAATATGAAGAGGTCTACAAAAACATAACAACTAAATTCAACTTCATTTACAACAGATTTACTAAACAAAGTTAGGCAATGCTTAGAACATACCCAGCACGTGAAAGAGAATGTTTTCTTTCCTTGAATCATTAGATTATATTGTAGACACTAAATTTTATTGCAGCCTTTGAAATAATCATCTATAAAATATATGTGTAAGCACACAAAGATTGCTTAGCACTTTCCAGCCTAAAGACAGACTTTTAAAAGTTCTCATTTTTGGACTGTTTGCAGCGCACAATTGACATTTAAAAGGGAAATGAATCCAAGAAGAAATGCCTGTGTTCTGTCCTTAATTCTGGCTGCTACAGTATCTGGACTGTTCAATATCACTGTTTTCTCTTTTTATCCTTGAATATTCAATTGCTAATCTCTATTACTGCAGAGAAGGTTTGCTCCTTTCCTGGCCCAACACCCGATGCTCCTGTCTGGGGACAGCTAGCAGGACAGGAAAAACATTTTCACACTGGAAGAGGGGAAAAAAGGACTAAGATGGAATTAAATTTTCTGCAAGCGCTAGGTGATCTGCCACCCGAACTCCTGGTTGAATCTCCTATGGTGGGATTCCCTTATGCCAACACACAGTTTCAGCTGATAATGTCTGCTATGGACAGGAGAAAAAAAAAACACCTGAGAACTAAATGCCACCTTAAGTCTAAATAAGTCACATAAATTATTTAAATTTAAGGTGGAGCTCAAAATACCAGATGCATAATTATACATTCACTTGATTAATAGACATTTTGATATAGTCTTCAATTAAATGACCTCATATAATTTTTCCACCAGAGCATGCATAGAAACTGCATTAACAGAATCAAAATTAAAAGTAAGAATGCAGTACAGTTTGGGTCTTATTCAAGGGAAAGCATTCAAAAAAGATCAGAAATTAACTGTTCTATGAAATAATCTGAGACATGAATTTGAAATGCTAAACTGGAATCTTCTGGTAAATCAACTGAACTTGAGAGGATCAGGCTCTACTTACGTCTGCAATGCAATATTTTTTGCATTAATAAGGCTCTGTTCTTGTATCTTGTCAAGTATTAACAAGGCACATTTTTCATGACCCTGTAGTTGGGGAAAAAACGCAGTAAAATTAATTTGCTGAGGAGTTTGAAATTGAGGCAGAAGAAATGTTACATAATAAAAGTGAAATTTAATAACTCAACTTGAAATACAAAACACGCTGCTCAGTAAGACTATGTAGAAGGTGAACTATGAGAGCCTCAAAATACCATTTGTGAACCAGCACTGCTTGGATGTTTTAGCACATTTAGAAATTTAGACATTCACCTGTCTTTCAACTCTACATTCATTAAATATGTATTCACTTCCTCAGCTTTCTGAGAATGCTGCGTTTTCTCTTKAGAGAGCATTCAGTGGATGATTTATCAGAACTACACAGTAATAGRGAATGGTTTCATCTCAGAAACGAGTACCACACTTCCTGGGTCCTTAAATGCTTTTCTGTTTTATTAATAAGCTACTACAAAACCCCATCAGTGTGAGAGAGCTCTGCCAGTAAAACCTGGGGAATAATACAGATCTGGGTTTTATTTCTGATCCTGTTTCAGCACAGCAAGTTGCAAATGCTGAGCCTACAGTCCTGGCAGGTGAACAGCTGCCTGAAGGACCTTGAGAATTCRGCAAGGCTCATGTGTCTGCAGAAACTGGAGTAATATGATCACACTGGAATTCAGTCTGTGGATAGGAGCAAATAAAAAGGCCCAGGAAGGGGAATTATGTGGGCATTTTATCTTACAGAAATAGCAGTGGATTTTGGAATTAAAAGGAAGAAGGGGTAGGAAGAGACACCATCACCCATTTAATTAATGCCTTTGGTTTTACTCCTGCTTCCTTAAGAGAAAATTTGTCTCCTTCCACAGAAATTGCAGTATAATAAAAAATACTTTTTTCTTTGTTACTGAACCTGTTAAGCTATTTTACAGTAAGATTAYCTGGTAAAATCTTAAAAGGTTTGCTTTACTTCTCTTACTGTCACATTTCAGCTGTCCTAGGAGTCATCCCTATTTCTCAATGTACAATACTTTGAAATAGACTTGAGAAAAAGCTTGGAACAACTTTCCCTTCCTCACTACAATTTTGAATAAACACACACATTCATACAGACTGATAAGAATAAACACACTGAAAGGTCTTCAACTTACTTTACTGCTAGCCAAGTGCAAAGATGTRTTCAGCTCCTTATCCTTTAATGTCAGGTCAGCCTTGGCAATGTTCACCAAAAAGTCTGAGGTGTAGAGTAGAAATCAACAAACAAACCCAATGGGCAGAGGAACATGTCAAAACAGAGGAAARAATTACTATTTCAATATACATGTGCATATATGTGAATCAATTAATGATTATATGATGTAAGCTTTATAGTCATGAAGTGAAATTAGTGAATGAGAACAGACTAATCTTATACAGTTAATCAGCAAGCAAATGCTGAGCTCATTCATGGTGCCCCAAACTACCAAACATATATTGATCTTAATTTATTTATAAACTTCCCTGTTTGCAGATCAGCAAATTTTGCCYGAACCACCTCCTTCTGAGAACAACCATGAATCCTGCTTTGAGAGGACTAGAAGGATATAAAGATCTTGGGGTGCAGCCTGGGCTGTTGAAGCTAAAGAAAAGGGATTATGCAAAGTCCAGAGGTCCCCAATCTGTATGCCTGCAGCATATAGCCTAGCCTGGAAAAAGCAGCTGCTGATAGCTGCCATTTCAAGAACAGGACTTCTATAAGACAGGACAGAAAAAGGTTACATAATCTCTTCCACACATGCAGCTTTACTGCTCCACAAAATGAAGGAAGTAAACAGTAGAACAGAATTACTACTCCCCTCCTGCTCTTTACAGTGTGCTCGTATGAGGAAATAAGACTCAAATTTGTTATTGCCAAAATTTCACCAAGACTGCAGAGAAGAAAAAGTATTTTTATTGGATGTAATCCTATTGAAAGGAATGAGAAGGGAGTGTCTTTACAAACAGACTGTGACTCTGGGGTGAGATAAGGCTGATATTGGGAGATAGAAAGAAACAATAGGAAGGATTTGCATAGGAATTCTACCGATTGGCTTACCCCAGTCTATGTTAATAGATACAGAGATACAGAGATGTATATTGAAAGGGTGCAATTTATGATAGAAGGGGGGTTTCATCAGGCGTTTTGGGGAGCCTGTACCTCTCAAGTACCTCAGCCAATGGGGAAAGGGAGAGGGAACCGCGGCCGGGAAATTGGGATAAAAGAGGCTGCATCCTCTATGAATTTGAGAGAGACCCCATGGGAAATGCCCATGACCTCTCCCTTTATTCATGAATAAAGTCACGGGACTCCTCTGTCTCCTCCACCAGAGGACATAAACCTCTGGTGCTTGTGGATGAATTTTCCTAACACTATCTTCTTGCAGAAGGATATTATCCATATAATTCCTTTCCTCCCTCAGTTTTGCCAGGATGACAGTGATCAGCTCTGTGTGAGCAGTGTTTCTCCAGAGGGACAGAGCAGGGCTGCACTCACCCACAGCACCCACGTGGCCGTTGTGTGCTGCCATCATGAGCGGCGTTCTCCCGGCATGGTCGGCGGCGTTCACCTGCGCGCTGTGGCTCAGCAGCAGCTGCAGACACTCCACATGGTCACCAAAGGCTGCGGCGTGCAGGGGCGTTCTGTGACACAGCACCAACACRGCTTTGTTAAACAAGGACATTGTTCCAACCTCCCCAAAAGTGCAACAGATTGCGGGGCTTTTCCTGTGAAACTTCAAGTTGTCACCATAAGAAGGTTGTAGTAGCAGCATCTGAGGTAAGTTAAGTAATACTTCCAGTTTCCAAAGGTGGATATGATCGAATGGAGATATGGTACTGGGAAGAATCCTGTATTAGCAGTGTACTGATTCTAACASAGCACACCATGTAACATGAAACTACAATCCCTCATTCTTATTAATCTGATTTTATTGGTTTTTAGCAAGCCTCAGTTGGGAAGAACTATCAGAAAAGAAAGATCCATTATTTAAAAAAACTAAAATATTTTTAGTTTTTTATAGCAGTACTATAAAAAGCAGAGGGAATACTATCAATTTTGAAGGCTATTAGTTTCTACAAGATATAAGCACTGGAACTCATTCTCTGTGGCTCTTTGGCATTTTGGGTCTGAAATGTGACTACYAGAGACAAAAGATAGTTGGTACACWGCCCAGCTCAGGGCTGCTTCCGTTTTGTTTATCAGCAAAGGTGAGATGCTCTTACTCTCACAGAATCAAGCAACCACTATTATTGTTTTAATCAATGAAAACAATGAGTGTTCAGTTTCTGAATTTCAGCAATTTTATAAATATATATATATATATAGTGAGGAGATTCTTAATGTGACAAATGAAGGATTTGCTGAATGCCTATCTCTTTCAGTTGTGTGCCCTGAGAAAGCCAACATAACACAAAAAGTATAAATGAAATACTTTTCTATATCTACACAGTATTGCATAGTATCACTCCATTTCRCAAAGATAAATGTGTTTAAACGTTTAACAAAGAAAACAGGTGCAGGGAAAAAGCCTATAGCCATAGCTATTCTAAAAAAAAACAAAATAGTTGGGKTTTTTTTATATGTACTCTGACACTGAATACTCCATCATATTCTTGCTTCAAGTGAGCCACAATTTAGCTGTGCTGCAGTGCAAACTGCTGTCTGAAAAAGTCAGCATGAAAAGTCTTAGCTCAGCCATAACGGATAAGGATTAGTGCCAGAGGTTCAGAAAGAACTATGAAAAATACTAAATTGAGCCATGAAATGCATTTTCTTTAAGGAACTATTACCTTCCTTTGTCATCTTCACAATTGACGATGCTGGCATCGATGGCTCCGATGAGTAGTGATGCACAGTTTTCATGATCATTGATTCTGCCAAAGAAAATACAGTTTTGAAAAGGTGATATTTTTCCACTTTCCAATATTAGTTTACTKCACTTCCYATTAATATTTCTSAGTGWTTATTTCTAATTTACCCTAACATGYCTTTGTCTTAATGCTTTCAGTCACATTTCTGCATATTCATCATMTCTCTATTTAACCAAACTGCATCTGGTACTATGGATTTAAATCTCTAATTGAAAGCTGGTCCTTAATTCACCATGCACAAAGGTAATTTCAAAGTCCTGAACAAACCTAGGATTAAAATCTAAATATCTTAAACTCCTTAGTCTGTATATCAAACATACTTGGACYTGGAAAGCACTCAGTCATAGACACTTACATGTGGAGAGATTTATTCTAATGTTTAAGGTACTGAAACTCACATCTCTTCCAACTCACATTTAGTACTTTGATTTGATGGATGTATTCAATTAACACTTTTTCTGAGTTTTGTTAATTTGTCTCATTTCTTTATGAAAATGAACAGTATTTATTAACAGTATTGGATACACAGTATAGCTAACACACTTCCATATTGGATTAGCAGTTATTTTCATTTTAAATTTGCATAYATGTTTAAATTGCATATATTTTAATAGGCTTGAGAATTGCATACTTGTTTAAAATAATAGAAACATTAAAATTTTTTTCAAACCGATCACTAGAAATTCTCATTTAAGATAGTATGTTTCAGCCACAAAGAATTTTGTTTCAAGTGATCAGTTTTAAAATTACTTGCTCATGCAAATAATCTCTAAAAAAGCTCACTTTATTCTCCCACTGCTACTTTTTGCAGACATATCCCAAAGCAACATGCATTTGTTACTGGAGATTTCTACTTACACGGCACAGTGCAATGGAGAGAAGCTATTACCATAGAACTTGTGGAAAAGTTTTTGTTCCAATAGTACCTCTATGCAGTTTTCATGACCTGTGAGAGAGTAGATATTTCAGAGTGTTGCACAAAACAGCCAGTTCAATTCATATTAGGCTTACACAGGTTAGAATTTAACACTTTTAAGTTCAAAGTTGAACATAATGTGTATATAAGGTCTTATGTGATAAATACTGGATTTTTTTTTTCATTTTATGGCAGCAGCAAGATAGATTGAGGCTTATATTAGCATTTACTGAAAAAAGGGAAAGAAAAAAAAAGCCTCTTTTTAATGTGATGTGATCAATGTTGCATTACATGTTCAAAGCTTAACTGTCAATACTGAGARGCTTTATCCTTACATTAAGCAAAAAGTTGAAATTATCCAGTTTAGGATATTCTGAATTGAACTGATTATYCATCTATTCACATGGTCTCTTGCACCAATAAGTGAGGTGACATCGCAAAGGAGCATTCCTGCTCACACAGAAATTTCATCACGGACATTAATAAAACCAGAATTTCATCCTGGCTTCTTGTGACTTGGAGCAAATGAGCTGCAAAGTCCCTGGGAGGCATCACTGGAATTTCCCTGGCCTCTGAACTGAAGGCTGCACATAACAAATGCTATCTACAGACTCAAGTAGAGATAATTTGCCTCTGCACTTCCAGCTCCTCCGAGGTTGTGCTGCTTGGTTGCCACGTTTCCCTAGAGCTGAGGCCACCYTTGCCCTTGGAGAGGCTCACCATTGTAAGAAGCCCAGTGCAGGGGGGTGTAGCCCTGGTTGTCCTTCAGGCTGCAGTCCTCCTCAGCAAGTGCCACCTGCAATAATTCACTCAGCCATGTGGCGTGGCCCCGAGCTGCTGCAAAGTGCAGAGGTGTCCTGCCTCTGGCATCTTTACACAGAATGGACACTTCTTTCTCTAACAGCATCTGAACACATTCTTCATGCCCAGTCATAATCTGACAACAAAGAAATGGGTAAAGAGGTTCACATAAACACWGATCTTTGCCCTGGAAATATGGAGTATGATTGATGCCTGTGATCATGAAATGGTCTGGGTGGGATTCAGCAGGCAGAGATGAAAGCTCCTTTGCTCGCTTGCTAAACTGCTCGCTGCAGTTATCATAAAGTTCTGTATAAAAATCATCTCTTGCACCAGCTCCACATTGGGTAAGAAGCCAGGAAAGCCTGTCTTAGTCGAGCAGGACTAGAAAGGATTAGATCTGCCTCAAGTTTCACCGCCTCTAGAAAAATCTTATAGGGCTTACTCGCACCATKCCAAGAAAAATAAAAGTAACTATTGGCCAATCCTTTTAATAAATTATTTTCAGAATTCTTAAGCTGATCAGTTATAAGAATAATGATTGCTATTATAAGGCATCTACACCCAAAACCCCCGTGGTATAATCATTATTTTGGCAAATTAATTAACACAAATATGAAATAAAAGCAAAGCATTACTGAGAACAGCATTACTTACTTTGTTTCTCATTGACTATGCCTAGTCATATTTCCAATAATTTAAAGTGTTCTCTAGATTTAAATATCCCTGTACTTAYAAATGAGTTGTAGTCACAGTAAAACAAATAATATAAGATCACAAAAATAAAGTTACCCCTCGATGTAAAGCTGTGCATCCCAGGAGATCAGCTGCATCTACAGATGCTTCTTTTTCAAGTAATAAAGAAACAGCATCAATGTGCCCATATGCCACTGCAAGCATTAGTGGAGTTCTAGGGAAAAAAAAAAAAGAAGAACAAGAATAGATCAGTCATAGCTATAAAATGACATAGATTTTGTCTGTTCTAACTTACACAGAGAGAAATCAGGAAGCCCTGCACTTCTTGYCACTCCTACCCATAAACCTGGTTCTTTTCACTGTACTCACATATGAAACCCAAGTGAAGACCCTCTGTATAAAATTATTAAGATGTTTAACAACCAACAGCTATGACTGAAATAGTAACAACCCACTTGTAAACAGTTTACAGAGCAACATCATCCAAGACAATCTGTTCTCTTAATAACCTACAATTATTGTCACCTCCAGTAACACATGAATTTTACAAAACCCAGCCTTGGGAATGCCTGTCCCTGTCAGTTCCCAACATGACAATGACCCAAAGCATTTCTTTTGCAAATKCTGCACAGTTGCTTAAAGGGGATGAAGGGACATGAGGAAAATAAAAGACAAGCTAAAATTTGGACTAACATATCTTTCATTTTTTCTGAAAGATATCTACTCTCCATCTATTTTTAGACAAGACTAATATCATTTAAAATTACATGTGCCAACATTATATGTTTCAGACACCACAAATGAGTTTCTTAAACCATTCACATTTTCACTTTAAAAATAGGTTTTATTCTCCCTCTGTAAATGCCATTTAACAAGCAGTAAAGTTTTTGCAGGAACATCTCAGATGCATGTGTCACCTCAAATAAACACTGWATCCTACTGCACCAGKCTAATGTACAAGAAAACCCTGGAAKAGCAATGTTTTAGAAAGAAAAAGACTATGGAAACATAGGAGCTGGTTTGTTTTTTATTGAACATGGCCCTCAACATCTATAAAAGATTGTTTAAAGTATGAAGCAGAGGCTAAGATTAATGATTAGTCCTTTCCACATGGCTTACATCAACCAAATGTGTACTTTGTAATCTCTGCCAAATTCTATGAGGAGAAGTGCAGGAAATACAGTATTTCAAATAAGTACCTTTTTTTGAAATATGAGATGTTATTTGAATTACAGAGCTGAAAAAAATCCCCACAAAGAAAACTTACTGTCCTTTGGCGTCTGTCACATCAGGGTTGTCTGCAACTTCCAGCAACAACCGTAAACAAGGTGTATGCCCATTAATGACTATAAAGGAAAAAAGTATTTTTAATTTCAGATAATTGTCCACTGCAATGGCTAAGAAACATCCTTACAAATGAGGAAAATACTCCACAATATAAGAGATCAATATTCCCCCAATTTTCATTTCACTTGTTCCACTGGAATGTGAGCTGTTTTTCCTTTGACCTCAGAAAGCTGAGGATTAGTTCTCTAAGATACAAATCCCAAATGAGTAAAACAGAAATAGTGATTTTCACTGCTGAGAAGATTTCTACTAAAGCAGACAGCATTTCAAAATCCCTCAGACTGAGCAGGCAGACTAGATTTCTGTGCTCAGGTTTGGAATGCAGTAGGAAGTACATTGTCAAGGCTCCTCAATTTTATGTGCACAGTACAAATAAGTACTTCAGTGCTGCTATTAAAAAAAAATCCTCTGCAAAGAATGACCAGTGATATAAATGTCTTATTCATAAAGGCRCATAACACCAAAATTCTCTTTGAGTTTATCCATTTTATCAAAAAWAATACATACCAAAAACATTTGGGTTTGGTGGTGTTCGCATTTTTAGGGCATTATTTTGGGCTTTTTTTGTTTTGTTTTGTTTTGTTTTTTTTTTTGTTTTGGAGGTTTTTATGTAACCCATTGCTGCTATGAAACAGCTCTGAGTTACTACATTCTGCAGGACCTGACACTGAACCCCATCTGTGTGTCAGCTGGTTTTAAGGCTTCAGACTTTCATGGGATGAAGAGACAAATATTCTTTTCTTTGAAAAACAATTCCTGTGCTCAGTAGATACACGTTGTGTTCCTATTACAGCAAGTCATGCATTCACACTGCCTACATCCTGTGGGCTGAGGCAAAACCCTTGGACACCACCTATGTCACACCACGCTGGGAGAGAAACGGGTGCACATCATCACATTTAAATTACTCATCCAAAAATAAGCTTACTTGCTTTACCCAGACAAATAAAAGGCATTTTTACTTATTTACCACTAAGTAATGACATAAACATAACATGTAAACAGTTCAGCAGCAGGGCTGATGAGTCACTGGCTTGGGGAGGGGGAAAAAAAGGTCTGTTCCTTCTCCCAGCAGGAGGAAGAGAAATCATAACTTGCTTACAAAGATGTGTGAAAATGATTTTGGTAAACGATTTTCAGAGCAGATACTCTCAGAAACTCCTAGGAGCTGCCCCAGTGCTTGCTAAGCATCACAGACCCTGCAGGGAATGGTAGTTTTGCCAACAGAGCTACAACGCTAACACTARAGGAACATTTGCCATGGATTCCCCAGGCTAGCCAGAGGAAAGGCTGGTGGTAATAAAATTATACAGGGAACATATAATTTAGGAGAAGGAAATTCTTCCCCAGAGGAAGTCTATTCCCTCACGGGGACAGACAGAAAAAAAGAAACACTTCATTAGGTGAGTTCTCTACTAAAGTCACAAATCCCTTTAGTGACACAAATCTGCAGAATCCTGTCATCCAATCCAGCACTCCTGAGCTCTGTGTTCAGCAATTGTGCCGGTGTAATTAGAAGGAATGAGGGCAAACAAGTTTAAAGGGATGGGCACACGTGCCTTCTTATTTCTTCCCAGTGCACAGTGTTGCACCTGCAAATACTCACTCTTGTGTGTGCAAATGCACACTGGCACTCATGGGATTTATTCAGTAAGAATTCTATTTGATTTCTCAAACACGCCACTTGACCTCCCACACTTGCAGCAGCTCCAGGCTGAGCTCCCAGCAGGTGGCACCAGGCTTTGCTAAAACACTCCTCACCAGAGCTTCCTTATGGAACAGCACCGTGCAAATGGCACWTTGCAAAGCCTTTCAGAGTAGGTGGTGGTGGAAGCTTTACCCCAGAGATGGTTTCCACAGAACTCTGCAGAGCTCTTGAGTGGAAGGTTCTAAATATTATCTTAATGGCTATTTACCCAAAGTGCACTTAATTCACATTGGAAAGCATTCAAATTCATACCAGTGGTGAATTTCCTTTACTACATAGCTCAAATACTCAACCCATCTGTCCATTACTTTCCCTTCTGCCCAGGGTACCTGTTCTCTTTTGTGTCTCTTACCAGGTGTAGGATTTTTCTGCTTTTTCTGCCTTTTCTCTTGGTTGGGCTATTTGTATATATGGGGTTTGTTTGTTTATTTTTAATATGTACCTGACTTACTTGGCTGCACCACAAATTGAAAGAACAGTTTACTTTTATGCCTGGGAATGTTTTTTAATCTGAGAAGCAAAGAGTATCATGGACCAGAAAAGTCTGCAATGAATCTTCCTATTGGTTTTACATGGAAGGCAGCCAATAAATTCTACAGTGATGGAGGTGATTAAAAAAGAAATTTTAAATAAATTCAAATCTTTCCTACAGTGATGAYGTACCACAGTCACACCTTATTCACATCAGATCCCAAGATTTGTTTGAAGTAACTACAGGAAAGCTCTTGACCAACACAGCTCAGTTTTGTGGCAGCACTAATATTTATTTCAGTTAATTAAACCACTAGTATTTATCATGGGGAGAAATGTGCTCAGTTCTGATGCAAAATTTAAGAGGACAGAAAGCATTTTTAGGGTGCAGTGTGGATCTATTATGAGCATTTCCTTCAGTACTGCAGACAAAACTGATAAATTTATTTGACCTCGTGTTTCTAAGCTGCACTTACATGGTCACACACAGAGAATAAACTGATACTGCAGAAYAGATATGCATTTCAACCTAAGCAAGATTAAAAGATAAGCAGAAAGACAATTAAGTGTGATCCTGAATTAATTATCCATGTGCTATTAATTTTCCTTCCCACTAGAGGCCACTGCTTTCCTGTAGGGAGCCCTCCTGGAGCAGCAGAGGAGACACGCTCCCTTTGGCACCTCTGCATATTTACCTGACAGGTACACAATCCAATAATAACCTTCAAAAAATAAATGACAAAGTCTCCATTTCCCAGCTGATTTTGCACGTTACATAATGAACACCCCACACATGAGGAATGGAGCAAGCTGCCAGCAAGTGCAGGTTCCCAGGCTGCCTCAGGAGGAGGAGGAGGAGGCCTGAAAAAGGGGGTGAATTTCTGTGGTGGTTGCAAGTCTTGAACATCAGATTAATTTCATTGCCAGTCAGAGCCCACGTGTATTTTTCAACATTTCTTCCAAAGGAGAAGCAGTAAGGCAAATGTCCCCTCCTCCTGTGATTATTTGGCTGAAGAACCAGCAAGAGAAGGTGGCATGGGGGAAACATTGTGAGGTGGTAACAGAGAGGGAAGGTAGAGGCAAAAAGGTAAGGGCAGAGCATTTGTGGTGTGGAAAAATATGGGATTCTGTGTGAGGGAGGACTGAAAAAAGGATGAATGAAGGGGAATAAATAGAATTTCAGTGTACAACCTCAGCAAACAAGTGACACTCCCCAGTAGATGTGAGAATGTTCATCCCTTCAGAAGAAAAGGGCATGGGAGCAGTGGGTAAGGAAAGGAATCTGCTCAGTGTGGAGGGTTTATAGCACTAGAGCAGAATGAGATCACACCCACCTGAGGCATGCAGGGGGGTCCTTTTGGTGACATTGTCCTTGACAGTGACAGAAGCACCCTGGCTGATGAGAGCTTCCACACACTCTGCGTGTCCTTTGAACGCAGCCAAGTCCAGAGCAGTGCGTCCCTTCTCATCCTTTATATCCAGATCCACCAGAGACTGGAGAAGAACCTCCAGAGCTTGATGATGACCATTATAGGCCTAGAAGTACAAAATGTGTCATGTAGAGAACACAACTCCCGTCTTTCAAAGAGCTTTCACATAAATTTTGAATAAAATCCATCCCTTTCAGTCTCTCCTAAACCCCACAGAAATCAGTTTTCTTGATTCCTTAGACTGTCTCTTCAACCTGACAGGATTTTTCCAAATTACACTGTACCCAAGAAGTTAAAAAGTTCCTAGTGTTTAGGAAAAGAAATTACAATTCTTCATTTGCTTTGACCTTCTAGTATAACCCAAAGTGAGGAAATTTCAGGCAATATKTTGACAATCCAGCACAGGTCAATCAGAAATTCATTTTTCACATGCTCTAGTATTTGATGGGAAAACATTTATTTCCAAAACTAGATTCACTAGAGAGATACATGGATGATCAGCTAACTGGTGCTAAATTCAACACATGTGCTGGTCTCCAACTAAACAAAAGGGATTCTCAAACCAGATTTGTGTGCAAATTCCATGATCAAAGCCATAAGCTCAAAGCTTGGCCCCATATTTATAAACTAGTTCTAAACACAAGTGTGAATTTCTATTTAATTTCACTTCAGTGTCTGTGTCATCTTCTTCCCAAGTGTTAGAGTCAGTAAGGACCAAGAGCTCCTACTGCCAAAAACTTAATTAACAATTCCAGCCCAAAACYTGGCTTTGTTACATCTAGGCCTACATCCCTTCCCACCTTTTTCAAAATATGCCTACAGTTAAATTTGCTTCAAAGACAAGAGATGAAGGAATTATTCTCAGAGATCCTGATCAAACATTTTACACATCTCATACTTACAGCTAAATGCAAAGGACTTTTTGTAGCTGCAGAATCAGATTCCTCAAACATATTGTTYGTTTTTTCCAGAAGCTGGGAAGAGAAAAATAAAAAGCCTTAAAACATTTTTAAATGAGACAGGATACATTTTTAAGGACTATAAATCTATAAATCAGGAAAGATATATTTTGGCCACAGTGAGTATTGAAGGATTGCTAAGTATTTTCAAGCTTTTCTACACACAAAGCTATAAAACCAGTTTAAAAGCTTGTCATGAACATCCTTACCCTCATTAATTGGTCTCCATGAAATCCTGGGGTCTGCTTGGGTGAGAAAGGAGCCCTCAAATCAATGGATTTGGGGATAGAGCCCTCAGTAAATTTACATTGGATAAAGCTCTTTTTCATGATTACACAGCATATGCAAGCCATGTCTGATCCAATGCTTTGGGTAATTCTGACACATAATTAGCACTGGGAATAATTATAACTGAGCTGTGAATCACTGATAAATTATAAAATTGACTGAAAGAACAGTCTGCTCCCACAATGAAACTCTTCCAAAATGCAACACGTCCCTTAACTCTCACAAGCATCTAGAAACATGCATCACAATTTTGTATGATCTCTTCAAGGGATCCTAAAACATTTTAAGGCTTAAAACCAAGAGCATTTCCATCCATCTAGAAGGGGAAGCTGTGGAAAAGCACCACTCCACAACAGGACAGGAACCTGACAACTTAAACAGCTGAGGCTGCAAAGAAAATCTTCCACAGTGTGGACAACACTGGAAAATTCAATGTTTTTTTGAGTAGAACTGCTCATGTGCACAGCCTTTTGCTCAATAATTACTCAGAGTTACTCTCCAAAAGCCTTTGGGATTGGAAATTAGCATTTTACAGAAAATCAGCGATGGGAGACTGTGTAAAAGAAAGGAAAGCATGATAGTAAAATAAAACTGACTTGCAATGTTTCTAAGGCTACAAGTAAATTTTTCAGTCTTTTTTAAGGTTTTTTTTGTTTGGTTGGTTGGCTGGTTTGGGGTTTATTTTAAGATAAAGTACAGAATTAATTAAAAGACTGAAAAAGAAGAAAGGAGGTAYGTTTTTGTGACAATCTGGACAATTCTAAGCTATGACAAGATGGAAAATTCTCCAAAGAGACCATGAAAGGCTACGGGGGGTTTGCCCATGTTGCAAGATGATGGCACATTCCTAAACAGTTATGTAGGYCTGAATTTTTGGTGTAACAATTTAGTCTGCAACAGACCTGCATCAATTATAAATTTATCCAAAAACCAAACTGGAATACAAATTAGCCTTAATAATGCACAAGGTGTTACAAATCTCTTATTAAACAAGGACAGTAAYCTGAATCCTATGAAAACACTAGAAAATGAAGCAGTATATATTTGTATATTTTGTGCCTAGCAGTATGTCAAGACTATGTTGATAAAAATACCAGTCATAAGCMAGTAGGGTGTGTGTATTAACAGGTAATGCAAATTTTAACACTTCACTGCAGCTAAGGGGAAGAAAAAAAAAATCAAGCCTCCCACTAGTTTCTTGGTAGGTTTGGGGCAAAGTTAAGAAATGCATTTGGTGTTGCCATGTGGGACCACTTCCAGTAAAAATACTGCTCTCCTCTTATATAAGAGAGCTGTAAACAGGATGAAGCAGTAGCCAGCCCTGAATAYACAAATATATCTGATTTYCTCTGAATACACAAATMTATCTGATTTKCTCTAGTGAGTAAACAAGCTAAAAAATCCCACCAAACAAACCCAAACACCAAGCCTGTTCCCCTGCCTACCTGATCCTGGCCTTCACTTTGTGTCCATGAAGCCAGAACAGCAGACTAATTTAATMATTTTTAATTACATTTATCATCATCTGTTGAAAATTCCAGGATCAAAATAATAACAACAAAATACTTCCCATCACCTGTCAGATGGCTCCAAAAGTCTCCTGGAAGAAGGCAAACAATTGCCTTTCCAATACATGAAAAAAAMCACACTGAAAATTGACAAAATAAAGGATCTAAAGGCACAAATTGTGGGATTGGAGAGTCCCTCACAAAAGGCATCTCCATGGTTTAGAGTCAAAGCAGCTTAGGCTGGTGCAGACTAGGCTTAATGAGYTTATTAGTCATAAGGCTGAATGTCTCCATCATAAAGTCAAGTGTAAACAGGAATTTGATGGAAACCTGGTAGCTCCCAGGTTATTATATTATAAATTATAAAGCAGAACAAGAAGGGCAAGATTAAAGGCACAGCATTAATAATTTTTTGGGCATTCCTTGTCAAGCATCACTTTCTAACTATTAAGTCACTTGAATGACAAACATCATACACAGTGATAAAAAGTACCAGGTCCAAGTTACACAGAAATTCTCCAGTTTTACCAGCGTTTCTATGGATGCATATGCAGTAAATTACATATACTTGCTATAARAACACATGGCATGTCCTTGGGGGACTCTAGTTCCATCATACTTTGAAGAAGCTATCCATAGTTGCATCTGTTTTTAAAACAGTAAATTTATCATTCASAATCATTTGCCCTGGCAGCCATGGAAGCTTAAATCCCACTGAGCTCACAGAGCAATCCCAGTGTGCCTGTGCACTGCAATCCACCCCTGCCCATGRAGCTGCATTTCACTGAAGACAGACAAACAAACATGAATTACCAACAGTTTATGGTTACTGGAGAATGTCCCAGTGTGTTGCATTTCTTATTTTTTGAGATTTTGAAAGGATGCCTTGTAGCAGATTGCATTTTTCTGGATTGACTGCTGCAGATTTTAGTGGATGTCAGAGTTGTGCAAAGGCCCTGCGTGTGACACTGAGGGGCACTCATCCCTGTGGTCAGCTCAGAACGTTTCTAAAGGCAAGGGCACCCTTCTTCTCTTCCTGCCTCTTGGGAATTCCCAGCACAGCCCCTTCACCTCCCATGACAGCCCCATTTCATACTGTAAGGAATTATTTTATAAAGTCTTCTTCAGACTGGGAAACAGAAACATGAATGCTTTGGGAGGGAGATGCAGTCTCAGTAAGATAAAATAGCAATTATTCAGTTCTAGTCTTACAAACAGCACTATGAGGTTGCTATTATAAACTCTCTTTTCTGGTGAAGCACGAAGATGARTAACTTTTACAGTCCTCACCATTTCATTGTGAAATAAAGGGTATTTACAAGCATAAGAGGATTTATGGCTTGATTTTATTCTGTGGTTATACTAAATGACTATATAGCAGGATATGGTGTGGGCTCCCCACCTTAATTTTTGGGGGGGTTCAGATATGCCAGTTAATGAGTCAGGATACTTCCTATGATTGTCCTTATAGCCTAGAATATATTCTAAAATTCAGCACGGGTTTAAAAAAAAAAAAAAAAAAAAAAAAAAAAAAAAAAAAAAAAAAAAAAAAAAAAAAAAAAAAAAAAAAAAAAAAAAAAAAAAAAAGGCAGCTTCATGGAGCATGCCAGTAATTCAAAATTACCGTTAGGCAGAAAAAGAGATAACACTTTCATCATGCATAAAAGATTTAAGCTACACTTTTAAAAGCAAGAGTCAAAAGAAACTTCAAAGCACAGAGACTGAAACRTTGGGCACTATCTCTAACCCCAAAAGTGAGCAATGTGTGATCCTGGCCAAGCCATCCTACACAGGCACTTCCAGGCACAGCCAATCCAGTGCACTGCCAACAGTGATGTCCAGGGTTGTGTTAACCAGAACTGAAGTCACAGGGACTTTTCTTGGAGGGTTTTACTGTTTTTATAAGGCAGCTTCAACATTCCAACACTGCCAGTACTGCTGGTAAACTTCTGCTGCAGTTTGGTGCAATTAATGCTAATTGTAAAATGGCAAAGCATTAGATTAGATGTGAATATTCTAAGAATGGCCTTAACTCTGCTAGGTTTTTAATCTAGCAGCGTTCAGAAAGCCCACACATGTGAAGAGCTGATCAAAAGGCAATTAAGACAAAAGAAACTGTTGAACACTGCTCTTCTGCAATAATTATCAGTGATGTGGCCGATCACTTCCCAGGTCATTCAGAAGTGGCAATTAGTTGCAATTTTTAATGTCTCTTTCAGAAGTGAATACAAATGTATCAGCTAGGTGTCACTTTCCATCTCATATTTCCTGATAAATTTCAACAGATAATTGTCTGCTCCAGGAAAACATACTGCTAGCAGCTGCTTTTAAATAAAGGCTTTTCCAGCAAGTAGCCAGCACAAGAGTGAAAACCCTCATCAGTAGTTTCTGATGACATAGAAAAGAGCAGTAAAATGAACCTCTGTACTACTTCTTCTCAATGAAGGAAGCACATTTTAAAATATCAGAATTATTCCTGATTGAAAAATTCAAAGGTGAAGTGGTACAAACGTATCCTCAGGGGAACAAGCGATCCTGTAAGCTCTCTCCATATTCGTAAATACAAATGATCAAATTAAAATAATTTGATCAGATTAAAAACAACATGCCTCCTGAAACCCAGTGGCTGATGTTTTGCTAAGATGAGGCTTTAAAAATCAGATTCATCAGTATTGATATTAATTTCCCTCACATGCATAGATAGGGGTGAAGTCAAATTAACATAAGCAGGAAGTAGTTTCACAAGAGCTTAGGCAGACTGAGCCTGAAGAAATGTGTTGGTAATTCCATGCAACTCCTCCAGCAGAGAGTTTGAGTATCCAGTACCCACCAGAACAGTCACCACCATGCAAACAGGACACTTACCTGGCATATGAGAACAATGTTCAGGTCTGTAACCATATCTAAATCTGCAAACTYGAGCAGGCCTCCAGGCTGTTCTCACCTGGGGCACTGATCTTCTGTTGGAGCTCTTCCATTCCATACAAAATCTTTTCTTGTTAAGCCATAGGAGTGCCACACTCCATGGGTCACAGACAGGTGATTCTCACCCAGAGGGTATTTACACAATGCAGGACAGCTCCAAATGAGAGTGAGAGATCACCCCCAGTACCAGCCAGCAGARTATGTTCATTACTCCGTGGTAATTAAAAGTCCAATTCCTCTGTCAGTCAGAGCAGAGATTTGAACCTGGGATTTTCACACTCAAATCACATACAT